AAGATTTTGGATATTGAAAGCCACATCAGGTATAGGAAATACAAGGAAGCGGCCCATATGGCATGCTCGGCCAACCCAATTAGCCAACCCAGTTTGGACTTTTCTCCCATTTGGATCCCCATTATCAGCAATGAAGTCACCAATTCACATAGAAGAGCTGTATGACGTGATATATGCTTTTATTTATTTTTATTAAGTTCTAAATTAGATAAACGTGATTTACTCCACTGTAGACGCTAGTTAGACACTATTAGTTTTTGTTACTAGTTCTCCTTTCTATTCAATGCCGTGGGGTCATGGACCTGGTTATGAGTTTAGTTTCGTGGCACAAATTTCTACAGATCTATCTATCCTGGTTCCACGCTTGTAAGTGTTTGCTACAATTTGTTATGAATATTTTTCTTATTAGCTATCATGGACTTAGCCTGGTCTCAGGTGTTTATAATCTTCATGTTTTGTGACATCGGTTTGTCCAGTGATTGAGGCTAGCTCTTTCTAACGGACCCAACTGAATAGGTGTTTTCCTTCACCTGAGGACGGAAACAGATCCAGTTTCCGAAACGTCGTGTTTTTATTTGTTATCTTAAAAAAAACCAGGACGATGGATAAAGTCCACAAACCCAACATATCAATCTTCAAGTTGCTTTAGAGATGTTGGAGGTGAGAATCTGTTCCTCGCTCTAGTCTCCAAAACTGTCCACAGTTGTTCAGTGATGTTCAGATCTGGTGATTGTGCTGGCCATGGAAGATGTTGAAGTTCACCTTCATGCCCTTGAAACCATGACTGAACAATTCCAGCTGTGTGAATGGGGACATAGTAGCCTAGAAAACTGCGTCGTTCGGTAAACGAACATCTCGTTCATGGGATGCACATAATTATTCAACTTGTCCACGTACTCCTTGCAGTATTTCGGTCATGAAAGGTAATAATTTGAACAAACGGAATACCACAATTCTGCTGCCCAAAGCCCCACAGAACCTCCCCTGTGTTTCACTGTTGCAATCGAACCAGGCATTCCGGATTGTAGGCTTCCTTGGGTGTCCAAATGTAAATTTTCAATGACGTAGGGAGGACCGTGAAGGATATCTCATCTGACCATATAGCGTGCGTGTTTCCAGTTGTCTGATATTCAGACTGTATGGTAGTCACACCGCCTGCCTCTGTGGTCTAGTGGTCAGAGTTCCTGGCTAGGGATCCAGAGGTCCGGGTGTGATTCCCGGCGCTACCAGATTTTCTGAGAACTAGTGGGTCTGGAACGGAGTCCACTCAGCCTCTTGAAGATAATTGAGGAGCTATTTGAGGGAGATAGCGGCTCCGGTCTGGAGAAACGAAATTAACGACCTTGGGGATCTATTGCGCTGACCACGCGACACCCTCTATCCGCTAAAATTGCACTAACTTGGCCGACAAGCGGCGGTCGCTCGATCGGTATAGTTCGCTTGCGGACTAAAACCACGGAGTTTCTTTTTGTTTTAACACCATTATTTACGCATATGAGCATTACTCTCAGTAATCAGATGTTCTGCCGTGGATGTCGGATCACGTCAGACAGTTTTTGTGGGGAAGGGGTCATCAAGATGAATATTAAGTTCTACTGTCATCTGTGCTGCAGTGCAGTGATTTTTCGAAACAGTCTTTCTCAATATACGATCTCTTTCTGTCAATGTTGATTTTCGCCCACTGTTCCTCTTCGCTGATGTTGTCTTCCCACGATTCGTGCATGCCGACATAACCTCAGAAACTGTCGCTCTCGATACACCTAATAATGTAGCAGTCCTTGTCACAGCTGTACGCGCATCAACGATTTGTCTTCTTACAAAATCGGACAAGTCTCCCATTTATCGATTCTTCACACTGACTGTCATTCAACACACTCACTAATGCACTTACACGAGCCCTAAAAAGTATAAACAAACAAAAGAATTTTCAGTGTTGCCAACTGAAGTTCTTTGAATGTAGCCAACTTAAACAAATTCTATTCTTCCAGTTTCTTAGTGTTTCCATTATTTTGCCCACCCTTCTGTTTATTTTTATGGTCCTCAAAGAATCTAATCTTCAGACGGGAGAAAGATTTGCTTGTCTACTATGTAGAGAAATAGACTCTGGTAACCTTGGTTTGTGCTCGGAATACGACTGTTGAATATTATGAGTCTGGAAATGTAAAGATAGCATTATTATTGTTTAATTATCTCCATATTCATAAGATTGCAGGCTGCTATATTCATCATGATATGCGTGTTTCATTTTTCTCTCCAATCTTGTTTTGAAACATTTTCCTCTCAGGAAAACACTTCGAAGCAACACGCAAAATATACAAAAGAAACACACGTATAATTTAATATACAGTTGCGTCGTTTCCACCTAATTTTAACTAAAAGTGGAATACGTTGACAATGTTAGTGAAACCCACAGGGTCAAATTGCATTGAAACCCATTTAGCAGTCTTCGAGTTGTTACATGCGCAGTAACACTCAGACGGTGACATTTTACTACGCGCTCCGGAGACTTTAGAACGCAACTAAATATGATAGCCCACAGTAGACTATACAAACATTCTATTTTGTAAAACATAATTGAAAACTAATAAAATAAATACAATTTTACACTCAGAATAATGATGGTAGGACTAAATTAATTTTTGTCGGAGAATCCATAAATTCATATCTAAATTGCTTGCTGACATGGTTCTAAAATACATTAAATTCGCACGAAATATATTAACATATATAGTTGTCTTAGACTGCATATGTCTGCATATACAGGGGAGAGTCAGTAAACAGGTCGCAAATGGAAGTAAAACAGTCATATTGGACGTAAAAGGATTTCTATGTGCATCACTAGGTAGCAGCAGAACCCAGCTTCATCACAGCCTAGGTAGCAGACGCGCATGCGCATGTCCAGATGCGGGTTTCAGTAGTGAAAATGACGACCGTGCTTGAGGAATATACTTCCGAAGAGCAGCGTCCTGTTAGGCGTTTCTGTGGGGTAAAGGGCTCAATGCAAAGGATATTTATAAAGAAATACTTCCTGTTTATGGTGGGAATTGTTTGTTAAGTAAAGCGATTCACAACTTGGTCGAGAAACGTTTCGCTGATGACGAAAAGTTTGAAACGCGGGTGCGGAAGTGGCTGAGACAACAGTCAAAAACCTATGCTTCGGGCTTCGACATACCAGTAAAACGATGGGACATGTGTCCGTGGAGGATATGTCGAGAAACAAATGTATTTCCAGTTTCGAATATCACATATTATATATTTTATATCAATTTATGACCTATTTACTGAAGTTTCCTTGTAAAAAGTACTTCATATATTCCTTCAGATGTAAGTACTTTACTGTGGATACACGAACTACCTTACATGTTTCGGCCTGTCTTTCCCATCATCAGAAATTTCGTCAATATTAATTGGAATACTGCACATAATCGCAATTCATATATCTGTATAAGGATCCTATTTCTTAAACTTTTATTCAAAGATAAAACTCTTTAGTTAATTAAAAGTTAAACTATTCATATATGAATGAATATATTGTTTTTACGTACATATTACAAGCTCTGACGGAACAAGCTACATATGCAACACTACTCAATCTAGAAGTGCGCATCATTATACCAACATTGAAAGGAAACCGCTAAGCACTAACACCTGTGTGTATTGTAGCAGGCCTCTGTGGTCTAGTGGTCAGAGTTCCTGGCGCTACCAGATTTTCTGAGAAGTAGTGGGTCTGGAACGGGGTCTACTCAGCCTCGTGAGGATAACTGAGGGGCTAGTTCAAGGAAATAGCAGTTCCGGTCTATAAAACCGAAATTAACGGCCGTGGGGATTCGTTGCGCTGACCACGCGACACACTCTATCCGCAAAAGTTGTCTTTAATATTATTCGTTGCTATCTAACAGATCTAAACAATGGCCAGGCCTTCAAAATGTTTTCACTCTCCGTTTCTTAGCAACGGATTTTAACGCTGAAACGATCACTTCATTCACTAGGAAGTTTTCTTTTCTATTCTTGTTCAATCATTTTGGAATGTCGATCCTCCAGAACTGAACCCAATTTTTAAATCTAATTGTCTCTCTCGAATTCGCTGGACTGGGATCTCCTGGTCTGAATTCTCAATTGCTTTGTACCGCCAATTGTATTCAAGATAATTCATCTGCACGGACCTTCAGAAACCACATATCACTTGATCGCTACGCACTATTGTTCTGTGACTCACCGAGCATGCGCAAGCTGCGCGGAAACAAAGAAAACACTGTTCCAGTATTGTTGACCGTGTGTGATGCTGCCGTTGTCTAGCTGTGGATTTACATATAACAGTATAATTATATTTTGTGATGGATAATTTTGTAAGCATGTATATGGCTACACATTGCACGTTGACTTTTTTAATATCTGTAGAATATTGGGACATTTGGCATTTTAACACAAAAGCGGGAAATCTTCGGCTATGGAAAATCATGTATTATGTGTTTGAAATTTATTTAGCCCGAATGTGTCAAGCCCTAGTGTGTAGAAGCTACAATCTAAATATCTATATACTGAGATCAATTATTACACATTTGAAAAGGAAACACTTTTTAACTTGGTTATGGATTCAATTTATCCGTGACCACGTTATATGACCTTAATAATCTATCCGCTATAAGCGCAAACAGCAAATTCTTTATTGTTCCTTATGGACATGAGTGTATTTTCTATGCATATAATTAAAAAATAAACAAGACCGCCTTGTTACAACAAGCGTTAATGACTATGTTATGTTTTACTTATGTTTCAAGCGCTCAACATGGGAGGAGTCCCAGAGAACCTCACAGCTGGCAGTGGTGAGCAAGATGACCACAAAATTCTTCACGACGTAGCGACCCACTTTGGCGCGGACACAAGAAGCGGTAGAGACAATAAGATCCTGACCCAATATGCTTAACAGAAGATAGTAGCCACTCAGCTGCCGTCAAGGAACATTCAGTGCTCAGAGATAGATACCAAAGTCTGTGCGTTTCTATATCTTATTTACGATTTCTGCATGAATCATCTAGGCGAATGCTCCTGAAAAATATTCTGCTGCGCTTATCTCCTCAAGAATATATTCACACGAATTCTGTGGTAAAACACTTCATTTTCTCGTGAGCAAGTCGTGTGCATTTGTGTCATAGAGCATGGGTAGTGCATTCAAAATATATTACGATAATTCCAGTAATTAAGCTCTGTACTGCAAAAGAACCTAAAGAATTGCATCATTACATTAAATGAAAGTTTCCTTTCAATAATAGTCCAAACAGTTATTCATAATTTTAAGTAACCACACAGCATTACTGTTGCAAATAGTAATCTTAGTTATATTCACAAAATATTTGAGTGCTTGGATGTCAGAAAGAAATAATAAAATCCATAAACTTATTCCGTAGGCAAAATGTCGATTTAAAGTATGATACAAAAACTGGTGAGCATATTTATTTCTGCCCCACACAGGGTAAAAAGATAATTTTTGCCTACACGACAACTTCGTCGCAGCCATGTTGAAGTACTTTCCATAAAACGCTGCTGATGAATACGATCAGCAGTTCTGCTTGCCTTTAGTAGGTTGAAATTTCCGTTACCTCTTTCTTGCTATTCGTACATTTTCTGTTATGGCTCTTCCACATTTACTTCACAAGATGCTGGAACAGCTCCGTAATACGTTGTCTTAGTACTGTACAAGTGTGTTGTGGCTTCATGTCAAGCTGTAAGTGCATTTACTTCCTCCTACTTTCTCTGTTTCGGATTATTTCCGTCTCTCTGCAGCAGGGATGTGTTCTTGTTAAAATTGTAGCAGTTCATTAAGCTGGGGTGAGTGCTGGTGTTATATTGAGACAGTTATCTCTAATTTCTTCTTCAGTGAAGACTTTAAGGTAATTTTCTGGAGTTTCTCTTCACTATAAAATTTACGCAGAATTGATTTATTTTAAGAACTGTTATACGGAAGGTTTGTGACGTCGTAAGGGATGCACATTAGCTTTCCTTCCGGAGGAAATGTTTATCCGATTCTCCATATTTAGCGTCATGTTCTAAAAGAGCTACTACTATTCATGTGTCAAAGGACATATTCTTGCATTCAGCTTAATCGCAGAAGCAACGAAGGTCTGCACAAAATACATTAAATGTTTTTATAATAATAATCTGAAATACTCCCTCCTAAAAGTATCATTATTAAAACTGATAAAAATTATTTGGTACATATAAGAGAAAGGGAAATTTCTTTTTTATCTCAACTGCATTTGTTGAACTGTCACTTCATGAAGTGGTCTTTATATAAAGTGTATCGACGTGTTGTCACAAAGTTACTCCAGACAGGAGAAGACAGATGCTTTATTGTCAACGAGGACGTTGCCTTCTATAGCAACCACGAAATGAGTAACAGAATAACTGACAATCTTCTATTATTTGCTAAGAACATGGCTCATAGGCAATAATGTTTATGGTAAATATAAGTATATGCGATTCTTCCGTTCGCTCACTTTGCTACGTGCTGCTCAAATACTGTTACCTGTTCGAAATTACGGCCAGTTTTTTTAAAGCGAAGAGGTAAACGTTTTGATACAATTACACTGTCATCAATTGGCCTATATAGCTTAAAGAGATATACCAGAAAGACAAAAAACATTTACAATTGGCACAAATAATGTTTTAATACCAATCTGTTTAAGAGTAAAATGTATCAGTTCATATAATTCTGTACGAAGCAGAGTAATGGATTATACGCTCAAGATAACGTTTAATATTTTCTAGAATATGGTTGTTTAATGATCTTGAAGAACAACATTTTTTGCTCAGATATTTCATTATCGTACGCGTTTTAAGTAAAAAGTGTGATAAATTTGTGGCAGTATTCCAGTAGACATTTGTGTCGACAAAGCACTGAAAATACTGAACTGATCAGTCAATATTTACTTAAGTGTGGGAACAAAAGCGAAATATAATTTGTGTAAGCGATAAGCTGCAGTTAATTTTTTTAAGAGTGTGATTTCGAACATACTAATTAACAGTTATGGTAAGAAAACAAAACAAAGTACGAGTGCTTGAAATAAAGAGCATAATTATAGAAGCCATTAAAGGACAAATGTTTGGTATGAAAAGGTGCATACTTATGCACCTCATTCAAATATAATAGGGACCATGTTGGGGAAAGAAGCCCATAACTTTTCGCACCAACATGGCACCTGGGATCCGGACAGCAGTACACCGCAGCGCTTGCGCCGTCGGGATAGTATGGCATTCCCAAGATGAAGCCAAGTTGCCAAGTAGCCGACAAGGCCGTGTCCACTGAGGACCTTGAACGTAACCTCTTCAAACAAGGCACTGAAGAAGACGACGATGAAGAAGAAAAGAAGAAAAAGAAAGAGACGGCTTCAAATGCTGGAAACAGCACCGCCATAGAAGTGATGCGCTTGGAGGCCGTTCTTGCAGCGCTTGTCGAGAGCAAAGTCGTGGCAATAAAGGCGGCATCGTCCAGCAAGAAATCGGCAATCAAGAACATATTACGCCCCAGGAGTCAGTCCACAACTCACGGTCTCCGCCAGCAACGTCTAACCTCCACATCCACAACAGCCTCTTCATCACACAAGGAAAGCAATCATCAAACGCATCACCACCACCGTCACAGGCACTGTCATAAGAGACAATCCGACAGTGTTTTGTTCGCGTCCGGATTCTTCTCAAAGAAACATCACAGGCACAACTGCAACCACAACCATAACCACCGCCACCATCGCCACCATCACCACCATCACATTCTTGCTGAAAATGAAGGTGACACGAATGGTCGGGTTCACATGAAAATGGACGAAGAAGCCGGATGCCGGCTGTTGCAACAGGAAACGGCATTTGGTGGGAGCATGATCACGTTGTCGCCTCCAACGGCTGGGCCATCAAGCAGCTACCAAAACGGATCACCTACCCATCAGGGCGGTTTCCACAACTACGATAGGAGAAGAGAGAAGCATCGTATTGTGACGTCCGCTTGCCCCAGCCCGACGCACAGCACACAATCGCAAGTACCTTGTCACAGTATATCGGGCATGTGTTACATATACGTAGTTGCATGTCTCAGTTCTTACAGTATGTGATTCAGAGAGACACACAACACGTACACGTACTTGCCAAACCTATAACCTGTCACCATTTCATTAGCTTAATAATCCATGAAGATTATACTTTGTGGATATCCAGTAGCAACCTAGTGACAACTGAACACTTGTCTCTGTCTGAATTACGAGAGAATGCCGAGGACAACTGTAGCGTAGTCAATAACATGGTTGCAAAGGGCATCTCCATACACTAGTTCACAACAGCATTCTTTGTGCTTACGAGTAGCTTGGTTAGAACAAGTTTGCAAAAAGCGTTTCGGTGATGCATAAATCATATTACATAAGAGCAACTTTTAACAACAAAATAGCGTCAATATCGAATTTAAATTTAAATCTGTGAGATTTGATGTTTTCACGGGGGTGACTCTGAAGAATGCCGTCTTCTGAAATGTGGCGTCATGTAGATCTTGTGTGAACCAACGTTTAGGAGGAAAGTATTACATCCATCTTCAGGGTTAAAAATCCGCGAACGAGGAAGCAGCTTGAGCAGGTGGCTGCAGACTGCGCGCGTGTGTGTGTCTGTGTGTTGGTCAGGTCCTTTCTTTTTAAGGTACTTACTCATTTCACATGTCCTACAAAGTTTATATACCAAATCTGTGTCTTTTGGTTTTACAATGAATTGTCGAAAAACAACTTTCCCTTTGAATTTCGTTCATTTCCATATGTTCTGCTGGATGGTACAATTACGAAAAATTTGAATTTAGATCGTCAAATATACATCTCCTTATCCAAAATATGTCGTAATTGGCATCTCTTCAGTCGTGTGTTTGTGGGTTCTGATTGTCTGCGAAACGTAATTATTTTAGAATCATGAGGAAACAAGCTCGCGGCATCACACTGGAGCCTTTTGTCCAGTACACTTTCCTACTAGTCGTGTGGTCTTACAGGTCCTTCATGCTTATTTTCTGGCAATGTGAAATGTCTTGCTTGGGCATCTTGCTGCATGTAGTGGTTGGTTTTTTGTACGTGTATAATAAGTCGTAGGATTAGTTACTATAGGATCCTGACGATGGTGTGTAACACACTGATATATTGGGTTTCTGGACTTTATCCATCGTCCTGGTTTTTAAGATAACAAATAAAAACACGACGTTTCGGAAACTGGATCTGTTTCCGTCCTCAGGTGAAGGAAGCCTGTTTCGAAGGTTCCACAGACTAAGGGCATGGAATTCAGGTGGAAAGTTAGATCCATGCTAGAGAAGTCTAAGTCTTCCAGACCTAACATGACCACGAAGGAACTGAAAGCCGTGAAATCTTTGAGACTTAACAAGGAAATTAGGATTCTTCGAGCAGACAAAGGCAACTGCACAGTGGTTTTGGACGAATCCGAATACAAGGATAAGTTAAACACGTTGCTAGAGTCCGGAGTTTACGAAACCTTGCCCAAAGACCCTACAGCTAAGGTAGAGAGGAAAGTACAGAAACCCCTCTCTAAATATAAAACCACTCTTCCGAACGATCTTAAACACAGGCTGACTCCATACCACAGCAAACCTCCACATCTGTATGGTCTGCCCAAGATTCACAAAGCGGGTATTCCTCTGAGGCCTATAGTAAGTTCGATTGGTTTTCCTTGCTATGCACTGGCCGGCTTTCTCCATAAGATACTCAGTCCTTTTGCTGGTAAATCCGACTCTTTCGTTAAGAATTCCGCCCACTTCGTGCAGTTATTAAAGACTGTTAACCTTCATTCTCAAGATACTCTCGTTAGCTTTGACGTTGTCAGTCTATTCACTAATGTACCAGTCGACGAGGTCCTACGTATCATTGAAAACAAGCTACACGACGATGTCACACTGGCGGAACGGTCTGTCTTGCAGGTCGGAGCCATCATGGAGCTGCTGGAAGTCTGTTTGAGAACCACCTATTTTCAGGTTGACGACAAGTTCTTCCAACAGAAAGATGGCATCGCTATGGGAAATTCTCTCTCGCCCATCGTTAGCAACATCTTCATGGAGCATTTTGAAAAACTAGCTCTTGACTCAGCTCCGTACAAACCATCGTTGTGGCTGCGATACGTGGATGACACTTTTGTAGTCTGGCCTCATGGTCCAGAGAGATTACAGACTTTCTTTGACCACCTCAACAGTTTAAGGCCTTCCATCTGCTTCACCATGGAAACTGAGTCTAACAATGCGCTCTCATTTCTGGACGTTCTGGTCATCAGGGAAAAGACGGCACTAGCCACACAGGTCTACAGGAAACCCACCCACACTGGCCAATACCTCAACTTCAATTCTAACCATCCGCCGCATGTGAAAAGAGGCTTGATAAAAAGTCTCCACGACAGAGCCTCTACCATATGCCAAGATCGACGAGATTTGGTCAGACAAATTAACAACGTGAGACACGATCTTCAGTTGAACGGTTATCCCAAAGGTTTTATTGACTCGGTCATTAATTCCAAGGGCAGTAGTCGTCCGAAGAAAGAGGAAAGCCCTCTGTGTTCTGTTTATATTCCATATGTGAAGGGTGTGTCTGAAAAGTTTAAACGGATAGGTAATCGATATAATATTAGGACCATCTTCCGTACGAAACACACACTTAGGAACTCCCTTATGAAAACTAGACCGAAAAGAGATCCGCAACAGACGGCACAGTGCGTCTATAGCATTCCCTGTGAATGTGGCAGAAGCTACATTGGCGAAACAGGCAGACCTCTGGCCGTGCGGCTCCGGGAACATAGGCATAACCTAAAAGAAGGTCTTCTAGAAAAATCTAAACTAGCCCAACATGCCTATGAAGAGGGACATAGGGTAGGCTGGGATGAAGCTAAGATTTTGGATATTGAAAGCCACATCAGGTATAGGAAATACAAGGAAGCGGCCCATATGGCATGCTCGGCCAACCCAATTAGCCAACCCAGTTTGGACTTTTCTCCCATTTGGATCCCCATTATCAGCAATGAAGTCACCAATTCACATAGAAGATCTGTATGACGTGATATATGCTTTTATTTATTTCTATTAAGTTCTAAATTAGATAAACGTGATTTACTCCATTGTTGACGCTAGTTAGACACTATTACTTTTTTGTTACTAGTTCTTCTTTCAATTCCATGCCGTGGGGTTATGGACCTGGTTATGAGTTTAGTTTCGTGGCATAAATTTCTACAGATCTATCTATCCTGGTTCCATGGTTGTATGTGTTTGCAACAATTTGTTATGAATGTTTTTCTTATTAGATCTCATGGACTTAGCCTGGTCTCAGGTGATTATAATCTTCATGTTTTGTGACATTGGTTTGTCCAGTGATTGAGGCAAGTTCTTTCTAACGGACCCAACAGAATAGGTGTTTCCCTTCTCCTTCACCTGAGGACGGAAACAGATCCAGTTTCCGAAACGTCGTGTTTTTATTTGTTATCTTAAAAACCAGGACGATGGATGAAGTCCAGAAACCCAATATATCAAGTCGTAGGATGTTCTGAAAACAAAACATGAAATAAGAACGCTGTGAATTTTCGGGAATGTTGGGATCAGCGGCCTTGTTTAACCGATTTTCTTCTCCCAGAAACTGGTGAACATCTCCGTTAGCAGAGAGAAGTTTATGACGCCACTCTAAACCTTCATCATCCTCTTCAGAACATGATGGACGCTGATGTGAGGTATCATCCAACCCTGCTTCTGAGTCAGTATCAGCATTCTATTCTGCATCATCATTCTGTATATACACTAAATCAATTAATACACGCATGCGCTTTGAAGGCCGTACCAAACTGACTGCGGATCCTAGCTCTACTGAAAAGTACTGAGCGTGGAAACAAAATGAATCACAGGCGAAAAGAACCCACCCCTGAACACAGAACTTCTAGAATCTAATAGAACATCATATTCAGTAGCGTCACTTTTTTTTCCTTGGCACTACAGCCCCAGTGGGCCTATTCACGTAGGTTCACTTACCACCTCCTAATTTCTTCTTCTCCGTTCATAATACTATCTTGCATGAATTTGAACAAAGAGCATTTCAGAGTATTACGAAACGTCACTGAGCATCATCAGGTAATTCTAATCACATGCATTACTTCAATTTCCATCTCAGTGTAGCTCTTCCACGTGTGCTTTGAGGTCTGGAAAGCAGTCATACTCTTATACTCGTAGGTGCTGAAAATGGCCAAGAAGGGAAAGAGTTCTACTGAGTAGATGCAGAGAAGCAACAGACTGTTGCACGTGATTAGGACAGCTATTTACAGGGGGAAATAATTGATTCATGGAGTGATTGCATAAAGACACAGGTGGAAGGTTGCAGAGGAAAATAAAGTACTTTGTTTGCGTTAAAATCTCACTCAGGGAGCTAAAATGGCTCCTCAAGAAGATTTGGGCTGTCGATAGAGCGGATATTAGTCGCTAGAAATGTTAGTCGAATGTCGACGTGTTCGACGTTCATTCCTTATCAATTTTAAATTATATTGAACTAATTACCCGCGCACGCCCTGCCTGTTTACATGGCAATTGCACTATTACATTTCCTCAGCTCTGCATTTAACAATATTGTCACGGGTTTTGGATTGATGATCGGATTTATTGGATTATCTAATACAGCGCGTGACTACACTTTACAGTTCACTATTACACACACACACACACTAGTGTCCACAAGCACGTTCTCATTAGTCGTTGCTTCCAACGACGGACGTTCCTCTTCCTCTGAGTTTTTGAACTATCTCGGCTTCAGCTACCAGCTTCTTTCGGCTAACTGACCGACTCTTCACTAATTGCCCTTCCTATAACATCTCGACACGGATCACACAGAAAACACCGTTCTTTCTATTGCTCTTTACGGCCTGTTGCCTAGTAACAATCGTTGTCTAGTTGCTTGTTTCGCGGTCGTTACCTAGCAACGGGTCTACATAGCACAATATCTAATATTGCATAAAAATTTTTGGTAATGTATCTCACCA